CATTCTGGGGTGAGAAAGGCGGGGTAGAAATGATAATGAAGGACCCTGCCTCACCTCTAGGTTTAGCCTCTTCTCTTTCTCTGAGGCCACCATAGACTCACAGGGAATATACACTGTCCTTTTGTAGCATTTTGCAATTTATTTATTTATTTATTTGCGGTATTTGTGTACCGCCCTTCTCAACCCCAAAGGGGACTCAGGGTGGTTCACAATGTTGGCAACAATTCAGTGCCATCGATGAAACATCCAAAACATCAAAATTGACCTTCCCCTGATAAAAATTAAACATTATTAAGCACTTCACATAAAATAACATCATATATCACACAGAGACATAAACAGTCCTGGGTCATTGCACTTTCAACTTTAACTTTAAATATTCCTATGATGGGCTGAACACTTAGTTCCACGGCTAGGTCGTAAACTGTCTCCTAAAGGTCAGGAGTGAGGGGGCCAACCTGATCTCACTTGGGCGGGAGTTCCACAGCCATGGGGTCACCACCAAGAAGTACCTGTCCCTCGTCCCCACCAGCTGCACCTGTGAAGCCGGTGGGACCGAGAGCAGGACCTCCCTGGAAGATCCTAATCTACAAACTGGTTCATAGAGGGAGATACTCTATGTTCGGACAGGTAAGTTTTACCTTCTGAGTAAAGTGTAAAAATCTTCTATGAGGAAGAAAGGTACAATTACATATCTCCCAAGAGGATTGCTCCTTTTAAGGTCACCTCAAGATCCTAGTCTCCAAAAAGGGCAATGTAAGGGCATGAAGATTTTTCTACAGAACATAGTAGTTACCATTAAAAAATGTTTAAAAGGAATATGGCTCTAGCAAGGCAAATCTCTTTTAAGTAAATCCTGTTGCTTTTTTTCTTTAAAAAAGGCATATGATAGAGTTGCTATAGTTTGTAAATGACATAGGTACATAACCACAAGAAGTAGTCACAAGACTAGGTGCTTTGTTTGCGCTTGCAACAACAAAAAAGTCCCAGCCACTGACCACATGTTGAGTAACAGTAATGAGTCACATTTCAAGATTCGAGGCTCTTAATAGCCATCATTCCTTTGAAAAAGCAGCTTCGGATATTTTGCTTAGATCATGGGAAACATGGTGCTGTGGTCATCCAGATGTTGCTGGGCTGCAAATCTGTTATCTCTCAACATTGGCTATAATTGGACCCTTCCAAACAGGCCCTATATACCAGGATCTGATCCCAGGTGTTCTGCATTAAACTGGATTATATGAGTCCCCACTGCCAGATAATCTGGAATAAACAAAAAAACCTGGGATCAGATCCTGGGATGTAGGGACTGTCTGGAAGGACCTGATGTACTTCAGAGAAGAATCAGCTCTGACTTTAAACACCACACCAGCTAGGTAAAATCAACAAGCAGTTTATTTAGTAATATATGTAGCCAAAGGAGGAAAAAGGAATCCACACTAAAAAAAATTCCAATTTAATTAATCAGATACAAAGGGAAACAGGAAGAAAGAGTCAAAGTAAATCCACGAAACTAGGCACTTGAATCCATGAGCAATACAGAAACATATCCCATTGGCAAAAACATGAACAAGGCAGACTTTGGTCCATGAAACTTGGCATTATCCAAACATTGCCTCAACTGAAGCAGTTGTCTCCCACAAATCATGATAAACTCTTCCCTGACTCCATAAGTGTTAGGAACACATTATTTCTTAGTTTCAGGTTACTATCTATCTTCTGTTGAATTCGAGCTGAGCGTCTTAATTGCTGCCCAAACTGCCTTTGTTTATTAAAACTTCTTTTCCTGTTCAAAGTCTCGCTCTCATCATTAATATCTGTGGAACTGATGAACCATTGATCACATCCCATTAGGAAAATAAATTGTAAAATTTAATCATTAGCTAGCATGTGAATGTGTCTGCAGACTTATGATGACCCCACAAATTTCATAGGTTTTTCTTAGCCAAGATGGTTCTGCTCGTTCCTTCCTCTAAAATATAGCCCACAGCACAATGGTTTTTGAGAGTCATCTTCCATCAAATATTAACTAGAGATTACACTGTTTGCCTTCGAAGATCAGAGAAATTTTAGTGCCTTAAGAATATTTAGGAATTCCAAATAATTTGGTTAGATTGTAATAATTTGGTTAGATATGTGACAAGAAGAGAATTTCTTCCTCACATATTTTACAAGAAATTTAATCTGATGGAAAAGCCTGCAGGATGAGGAAACACTCTGAAAATGAAACTATTTTATTTTACTATGAATTGTTGGTGATGTTTCCTGTGCCTGTCCACTTCCAAGAAACTATGCATTTCACCACCAATGAGGTTCTTCATGTGTTGTCTGCTGAGTAATGCAGTCAGTATTTTTCCTGTGACATGTTCTGTTTCTGAGTCCATCATATGACAAAGCTCAGATCATCCAAAGGTTTAGGAGCTGGTTGGACTGTAGAAAGATCTCACATCAGTAGTTAACCTCTGTCAAAGAGACCAAAGAAAGTGGTGTCTGAATTTCAGAATAAGTGAAAGCATTTATGGAACATTTTTCTGAATTGTTGCCTTAAAGGACTGCAAGATCGAATTCTTCCAGCAATGGCTCCCTTTTGGAGCAGGGGACTGGATTGATGCAACGCTTTCAACAAGGAAGACAATAAGCAGGTGAGTGAAATATTCTTTCATTGAATTCTTACTTATTTTAATTCTATTAGGCCAGATCTACACTGCCATATAATCCAGTTTCAGGATGCAGATTACCGTCATTAAACTGAATTATATGAGTCGATACTGCCATATAATCCAGTTCAATGCAGTTCATCTGTATTCCGAAACTGGATTATAAACTAGTGTAGATGATGCCCCAGAGAAGATTGTAAATGACCTGTTGTAATATCCTGTAGTGAAACAAAGGATTCATCTTTTCCAGGAAAAAGAAACGACAAACGTTTGGCTTTTCTTTCAGTGTTGTCAGATGAAAGTTTCTTTTTTCTCTCTTTCTGAAAATGTATTACACAGTGCCCCCCCCCCTCAAAAAAAAACTTGGTGTCTTAGGACCTCATCAAAAAGGTCCACGGATTTGCTCTGCATTGGGGTGAATCCATGGACTCCTGGCAGGGGCGTGGAGATGCCACCGCTCCACACCACGAATCACTTGTGTTACTGTGTCCTGCATCCCATTGCTGGGAAGGCAAGAAGAAGAACTTTATTTTTCTACCCCACTTCCATCTCCCCGAGGGGACTTGGAGCGGCTTACATGGGGCCAAGCCCAGGGCACAATACAATTAAAACAGAATAATAATAAGTTAAAATACCATAAAACAGCATAAAGAGTAATAAACAAACATCAAAGCAACAGCAGCAGACTAATTTTGGAGGAGGACGGGGGAAGAGGGAACTATGCGAACTGGTTTAAGGATAGGGTGGTTCAACGGTGGATAGAAACGTATAATAGCATAGGAACTAGCATGGAAACAGAGCAATTTAACAGGATCAATTCAGCTTAACTTAAAAATATGTATAGTAATGTGATATAGGAATTCAGATTCAGGTCATGATTCAGATCATAATATAAATCATTTGTCATAGGGGTCATCAGTCGAATGCACAGCGAAACAGCCATGTCTTTAATTCCTTACGGAATGTGGGTAGGGAGGGTGCCAGCCTAATCTCCCTGGAGAGGGAGTTCCAGAGACGAGGGGCCACCACCGAGAATGCCCTCTCCCTCATCCCCACCAACTGCGCCTGAGATAGGGGTGGGAGTGAGAGAAGATCATCCCAGGAAGATCTTAAGGACCCTATGGGCTTGTAGGGGAGGATGTGGTCTCGAAGATAGGCAGGTTCTGAACTGTTGAGAGCTGTATAGGTAATAACCTACATCTTGTATTGGGACCAGCAACTTATCGGCAGCCAGTGGAGCTGTTTAAACAAGAGGGTTGACTGCTCCCTGTAACTTGCTCCAGTTAACAATCTGGCCACTGACCTTTGCACCAGCTGTAGTTTCCGAACCATCTTCAAGGGAAGCCCTATGTAGAGTGCATTACAGTAGTCCAATCTTGAGGTAACAACATTATAATGGCAGGCCAATATGCCCATCGTATGCTGCTTCCTCTCCCTTTTTGGTATGGAGCCTGGCCAGAGGTTCCTGTGCATCATGAGAAGGGCTCCGTGCTGAAGAGGAGACGCAGTGTACGATGGGCAAATCGGCCCACCTGATGAAGTAGTCAGTATCTCAAAAACTGCGTCCATTAATGGGTCTAACTGTTGATTGTTACTGCCCATTGTTACTGAGACTGTGTTTATTGTAATATTATTTTGTTACTGTTTTTATATGTTTTTAATGTAATTTTGATGATGTTGTTTGTTGTTTATGTTTTGGTTTTATTTTGCTGTAATATGTTGTCTGGGCTTGGCCCCATGTAAGCCGTTCCGAGTCCCCATTGGGGAGATAGTAGCAGGGTATAAATAAAGATGATGATGATTATTATTATTGATGCACTGAATTACCATATATACTCGAATATAAGCCATATTCGAGCCAAGGTAAAAGTCAGGGTGGGAGGCTGAGAGAGGGCCAGAGGAGGAGGCTGCTGTTACTGCTGGTCCTCCTCCTCCGGCCCACACCATGTAGACACCAGTCAGGACCAGGGGAGGGAAGGAGGCACTTTGCACGTACCCCGGGGCACCCTGTCTGTCTGTCATCATCTTAACATGCTGAGTGTTTACTCCAGATTGGGTTGTTGGGGATGAGGAAGTGGATCATCCAAGCACCCGAAGAAACTCTTCCTGGTTGGCATTCACAATGTCCAGACCCAGCGAGAAGGAGAGGGAAGTTGAAAGGAGGCCACAAATGGTCCTACGGTCATCTCCGTGCATTTCCCCATTATATGGGGAAATGCACGGAGATGACCGTAAAATGCTTTCATGCATTTAAAAAATGCTTTTCATAGCGTTCTATCATTGGAGCAGCCAAGCCCAGTTTTCTGGATGGGGTGGAGCAATGAAGGGAGCCAATAACACAAGATCAAAGGCAAACAGCATAAGAGAAGTGACGTGTCTTGGGCGGGGGCAAGGGGAAGTGAATAGAAGACGCTGAAAGTGGAGAAAAAATGGCGGGCAAAGGGAAGAGAGATGGAGAACGCAAGAATTCAGCTTTAAGGCAAACTGTAAGTTATGATAAAATACATAATAAAAATATTTTTAGTCATATACTATATTCAGTGGGATGGGGTCCACATGTAGATGCAAAAGGGGTCATAGAGGTCAAAAGTTTGTAGACCACTGCCTTCAATATGAGTTTGATTGCCTCCTCCCATGTGAAGACTAATGTGACTTGTAATCTACCATATCTGGAAGCAACTGGCATGTGGAAGGAAAGCTCACATGTTCCTGTGGCTGTTTGGCAGAGATCGGTGGCTGTTTCCTGTCATTCATTTCAGTGCTACTACATTCCTAATGTCTCTACATTGTTTCCAGGAAGGAGGTGCTTTCACTGAGAAAGATGTAAGCCATGCATCACATGATAAAATGAATGGTTCTTAAAAGTGGTGAACTTCTGTGTTTCTCCAGCCCTCCTTCATCATCCCCAGCCCAACCCTCATACTAAATGGTCAAATGACATTTTAAACATTGTTTGTGTTTTAAATCTATTTTAACTGGACCCTCAGCTTGCTTCTGACATCTATATAAATAAAAATGTAATGTTCGTTTGTGGGATTAACAGAACTCAAAAACCACTGGACGATTTGCCACCAAATTTGGACACAAGACACCTAACAACCCAGTCTATGTCCTTCAATCAAAAATTTTGATTTTGTCATTTGAGAGTTGTACTTGCTGAGATTTATAGTTCACCTACAATCAAAGAGCATTCTGAACCCCACCAACGATGGAATTGAACCAAACTTAGCACACAGAACCCCCATGACCAACAGAAAACACTGGAAAGGTTTGGTGGGCAGTGTCCTTTGGTTTTGGAGTTGTAGTTCACCTACATCCATAGAGCACTGTGGACTCAAACAATGATGGACCAAACTTGATTACCTGAGATATGCCTATATTAACAAGAATCTCCCTCGTGCCTTAATTGTTCCAGGTTTTCTGAACAACTCTACAGGAGAGCATGGCCAACCTTTTCAGAAAATGTGTATGTCTTTTTTCTATCATCTGGCTAACTTCCCATCAGGCTTTCATAAACACTTGTGAACATCAAAGTGAGTATGGAATTACATTTTACTAAAATAAAATAAAATAGTTCAGGTAAGACTAGGCATGGTATACCATTCATACATAGCTGGATTGCAATTTCCAACATGATTGCCCATTTGTCCAGCTTCCTAACACTGTTGGAAATACAGTAGAGCAGGGGTCCTCAAACTTTTTAAACAGAGGGCCAGGTCAAAGTCCCTCAAAGTGTTGGAGGGCTGGATTATAATTTGAAAAAAAATGAATGAATTCCTTTGCACACTGCACATATCTTATTTGTAGTGTAAAAACACTTAAAAACAATACAATAATTCAAATGAAGAACAATTTTAGCAAATATAAACTTATTAGTATTTCAATAGGAAGTGTGAGCCTGCTTTTGGCTGATGAGGTAGGATTGTGTAGTTGTTGCTGTGTGCTGTCAAGTCGTTTCAGAATTAGGTTGACCCCGAGCCAGGTAAATGACCTTGGGGGGACCATATCCGGCCCTCGGGCCCTAGTTTGAGGACCCCTGCAGTAGAGTCTCACTTATCATAGTTTGAAAAAATGAACAAATTTATATGCACACTGCACATAACTTATTTGTGTAGGTAAAGGTTTCCCTTGACATTAAGTGTAGTAGCATCCAACTCTGGGGTGTGGTGCTCATCTCCATTTCTAAACCGAAGAGCCGGCGTTGTCTGTACACACCTCCAAGGGCATGTGGCCAGCATGACTGGATGGACTGCTGTTACCTTCCCGCAGAAGCGGTACCTATTGATCTACTCACAGAGTGGCAGAAGCTGGGCCTAATAGCGGGGAACTCACCCGCTCTCTGGATTTGAACCGCCAACCTTTTGGCCAGCAAGTTCAGCAGCTCAGCGATTTAACCCACTGCGCCATCAGGGGCCTATTTGTAGTGCCAAAAAAAACCCATGAAAGAACAATACAATATTTTAAATTAATAACAATTTAACCAACAGAAATCTACCAGTATTGGCGGTTTCAGTTGGAAGTGTGGGCCTGCTTTTGGCTGATGAGGTAGTCAAATTTATTAGGATTGTTGTTGCTGTTTACCTTCAAGTCATTTCAGACTTAGGGTGTCCCTAAGTTTAGGGCAGAGCCCAGGTAAATGACCTTGGAGGGCTACATCTGGCCTAGAGACTTTAATTTGGGAACCCCTAGTCTGGAGTATTAATGGAATATTATTACTGCTGACCAGCCTCAGATTAAAGTGCATATCTAGCTGTGCCCTAAGTCAAGAAATCTGGAAGCTGCAGGTGGATCAATGTCCAGAGAACCATATGATTATTAGTTGTGTTTCACAGAGAGCCACTGAATTCACACAAAAAAGAACAGTTCTTGGGCGTTGTAAATGATATCATATCGGGCTTCCAGTGTAAATTGTGCATACCTTCTGTTCCAGAGCTAGGGAGCTCTTGGGATTGCTATTCTCACCATCTCTTGCCTTTGATCATGCAGTCTGAGACTTCTGAGGTGTGAAATTTAAGGCCCCTTCAGCACTGCCATATAATCCAGATTATCAAAGCAAATGATCCACATTATCTGATTTGAGTCTACACTGCCATATAATAAAGTTAAAATCAAATAATCTGGATGTTATGTAGCAATGTAGAAGGGGCCAAAATCAGTGATTCCCTATCTCAGTTCTATTTTCAATTGTCTAACCTTTTTTGATTACCTGTTACAGCTGCCAGAAACGAACTCCTTTGTGTTTTCCATCCCTAGAAAATAGGGGATGCAATTTGTATGAAAAGACTGTGCAAGAAGGAGGCAGCTTAAATGTGAGCCTGAGCAACTTTGGAATCCTTCGTGATGTCTGTTTTTGGAATAGCTCAACGTCAAAATGGGACAGCGCCTGCCAATTTGTTGGAGAAATCTGTGAGCCTCTCATTCCGAATTTCAACATGCATATCTCTGTGGAAAAGGAAACTTTGGTCATGTCGAATATGAAGGTAGAAAACAGCGGCTACTACAGGATTCTGGACCTGGATGGAGATTGCTTGGGAAGAAATGTCTCCGTGTTGGGTAAATGTCTATATGAAAGTGGATCTATAATTGTGCTTATAGAATAGACTGGGGATCCCCTGGTCCCTTCCGATGTTGTCGTGCTCCAGCTCCCATCCACTGTAATCAATATAGCAATTATTGCCAGGGGTGATGGTGACTGCAGTCCCCTCCACTGCACAAAGTTAGGTATGACATTTGGCCATTATTATTATTATTATTATTATTATTATTATTATTATTATTATTATTGATAGGGTTGTTGTAGGTTTTTCGGGCTATATGGCCATGTTCTAGAAGCATTCTCTCCTGACGTTTTGACAATAAAATAATAATAATAATAATAATAATAATAATAATAATAATATTCCTTCCCCTATCTCCGGAGGACTCGGAGTGGCTTGCAACATAAAATAAGTGCAATTCAATAAAATACAAAAAAATGGGGTAAACAAATTCCATGCAGTCAGAGCAAACATGAAGAAGACACCATTCCATGTGTGCATTAATTCCATTAAGAGATGAATTATCAAGGGTCTGGAGAACAAGCCCTATGAGGAGTGGCTTAAAGTGCTGGGCATATTTAACTGGCAGAAGAGAAGACTGTTTGTTGTTGTTCATTCGTTCAGTCGTCTCCAACTCTTCGTGACCTCATGGACCAGCCCACGCCAGAGCTCCCTGTCGGCCGTCACCACCCCCAGCTCCTTCAAGGTCAGTCCAGTCACTTCAAGGATGCCATCCATCCATCTTGCCCTTGGTCGGCCCCTCTTCCTTTTACCTTCCACTTTCCCCAGAATAATTGTCTTCTCTAGGCTTTGCTGTCTCCTCATGATGTGGCCAAAGTACTTCAACTTTGTCTCTAGTATCCTTCCCTCCAGTGAGCAGTCGGGCTTTATTTCCTGGAGGATGGACTGGTTGGATCTTCTCGCAGTCCAAGGCACTCTCAGAACTTTCCTCCACCACAGTTCAAAAGCATCTATCTTCCTTCGCTCAGCCTTCCCTAAGGTCCAGCTCTCACATCCGTAGGTTACTACAGGGAATACCATGGCTTTGACTATGCGGATCTTTGTTGCCAGTCTGATGTCTCTACTCTTTACTATTTTATCGAGATTGGACATTGCTCTCCTCTCAAGAAGTAAGCGTCTTCTGATTTCCTGGCCACAGTCTGCATCTGCAATAATCTTTGCACCTAGAAATACAAAGTCTGTCACGGCCTCCACATTTTCTCCCTCTATTTTCCAGTTGTCAATCATTCTTGTTGCCATAATCTTGGTTTTTTTGACGTTTAGCTGCAACCCAGCTTTTGCGCTTTCTTCTTTCACCTTGATTAGAAGGCTCCTCAGCTCCTCCTCGCTTTCGGCCATCAGAGTGGTGTCATCTGCATATCTGAGGTTGTTAATGTTTCTTCCAGCAATTTTCACCCCAGCTTTGCATTCATCAGCCCCGCACATCGCATGATGTGTTCTGCATACAAGTTAAAAAGGTTGGGTGAGATTATGCAGCCTTGCCGTACGCCTTTCCCAATCTTGAACCAGTCTGTTGTTGATATGGCCATGTATAAATATGTGAAGGAAGTCATAAGGGGAGGGAGCAAGCTTGTTTTCTGCTGCCCTGGAGACTAGGACGCGGAACAATGGCTTCAAACTACAAGAAAGGAGATTCCATCTGAACATTAGGAAGAACTTCCTAACTGTGAGAGCTGTTCAGCAGTGGAACTCTCTGCCCCGGAGTGTGGTGGAGGCTCCTTCTTTGGAGGCTTTTAAACAGAGGCTGGATGGCCATCTGTCGGGGGTGCTTTGAATGCAATTTTCCTGCTTCTTGGCAGGAAAGTTAGATGAGATGGCCCACAAGGTCTCTTCCAGCTCTATGATTCTATGAATTATTGCTATACTGCCAGGAGCATGAGAGCCCCCCCAAAAACAGATGGGGAAAAGAATATATATGTGAAACCCAAATAACCAAGTTTTCCAAACATTTAGTGACACACTTTGAAGGCATGCATCATTTTGTGATACAGTCATTCAGTTTTACTAGAGGTTAAACCAACCCCTTATAACCTTATAAGAGATACAGACACATACATCTATATGTAATGTATGTGTCTATATGTAATGTTCGTTTGTGGGATTACCAAAACTCAAAAACCACTGGAGGAATTGACACCAAATTTGGACAGAATACACCTAACAACCCAATTAGTGACTATTTGGGAGTTGTAGTTTCTGGGATTTAGTTCACCTACAATCAAAGAGCATTCTCAACTCCACCAATGATTGAATTGAACCAAACTTGGCACACAGGACTCCCATGACCAACAGAAAATACTGGAAGGGTTTGGTGGGCATTGACCTTGAGTTTTGGAGTTGTAGTTCACCTACATCCAGAGAGCACTATGGACTCAAACAATGATGGATCTGGACCAAACTTGGCATGAATACTCAATATGCCCGAATATGAACACAGATGGAGTTTGAGGAAAATAGACCTTGACATTTGAGAGTTGTAGTAACTGGGATTTATAGTTCACCTACAATCAAACCTCATGCTGAACCCCTCTAGTTCCTAGCCCAGTGTTTCTCAACCTGGGGGTCGGGACCCCTGGGGGGGTCGCAAGGGGGTGTCAGAGGGGTCACCAAAGACCATCAGAAAACAGTATTTTCTGTTGGTCATGGGGTTTCTGTGTGGGAAGTTTGGCCCAATTCTCTCATTGGTGGGGTTCAGAATGCTCTTTGATTGTAGATAAACTATAAATCCCAGCAACTACAACTCCCAAATGACAAATCAACCCCCCCCCCCAACCACCCCACCCCACCAGTATTCAAATTTGGGTGTGTCGAGTATTTGTGCCAAATTTGGTCCAGTGAATGAAAATACATCCTGCATATCAGATATTTACATTATGATTCATAACAGTAGCAACATAACAGTTATGAAGTAGCAATGAAAATAATTTTATGGATGGGGGTCACCACATGAGGAACTGTATTAAGAGGTCACAGCATTCGGAAGGTTGAGAACCACTGTTCTAGAGGCTTCCTTGATCATTTTGTGTCTTTTTCTCCTTTTTTCAGATTCTTCATCAAGGAACAGTGGGAGCCGCAATTTTTCCAATTGGGTAGTGATTCTCATTCCGCTTGTGATTGCACTTGTGTTTTTGTGAACTTTTTTTGTGCTGCATGTGAGCACAAAGACCTACATGGATTCAGCTTCCGGTTTTTTTTCCAGGAAGAAAGAATAAAAGGGGGAAATGGACTTACTGTATATATCCATGTATAAGTCTAAAAGAAATGGTCAAAAATTAATCCAAAAAAACTGGATTGGCTTATCCAGAGGCCAATGTAAATACTGTATCTTTGCTCTTATCAGAGAAGAAGCCATCTCCTTCTCCTAGTACATTGGAAAAAGAAAAGAGTCCGCCCCAATTTTATAAATTATGATTTATTGCATATTTGATCCTGTGTTCTTTTTTTTCTGTGTCTGTTCATTTTTATATACAAACAATATTTTTGCAATGAAAAGGAAACCTGAAAGAATCATGTGCCTTTGTTTAAGGATGTTTTGTTCTGAATGTAAAACTCTAATTGAGAGCTTCTTCCTACCTACTTTCCACAAAATGGAGGTCATTGTCAAAGGCTTTCATGGCCAGAATCACTGGGTTTCTGTGAGTTTTCCAGGCTGTATGGCCATGTTCCAGAAGCATTCTCCCCTGACATTTCGCCCACATCTTTGGCAGGCATCCTCAGAGGTTGAGGGGTCTGTTGGAAACTAGACAAGTGAGGTTGTATAACTGGAATGTCGAGGGTGGGAGAAAAAACTCTTGTCTGCTTGAGGCAAGTGTGAATGTTGCAAATGGCCACCTTGATTAGCATTTAATGGCCTTCAAAGCCTGGCAGTTAAAATGGTATGAAACTGCATTAATTTTAGAATGTAGATGTACTGTTGGAATCTGTAAGTACTTCAGTGTGACTTTATAGTAATCTTCTAGAGGAAGTTGGTCATAGAGTTGCACTGGATGGCTAGAGATTCTCAAGGTAAAGGTAAAGGTTTCACCTTGACATTAAGTGTAGTCATGTCCAATAGTGGTTGGTGTTCATCTCCATTTCTAAGCCAAAGAGCCGGCGTTGTCCATAGACACCTCCAAGGTCATGTGGCCAGCATGACTGCATGGAGCACCATTACCTTCCCACAGAAGCAGTACCTATTGATCTACTCACATTTTTATGTTTTTGAACTGCTATGTTGGCAGAAGCTGGGGCTAACAGCGGGAGCTCATCCCACTTCCCGGATTCGAACCACTGACCTTTTGGTCAGCAAGTTTAGCAGCTCAGTGGATTAACCCACTGCGCCACCGGGGGCTCCAGAGATTCCCAAACAAGTCCACAAATAATACTATGTAACATGATTTATGATCCCAGGTTATAAATGTCATTTCCTAATTGGTTCTATCATGAAAACATGGAAAAGGTTTATTAAACTGCAAAACTCCTGAATCACATTTTGCTATAGTTTTTCAATGAATATCTCATAGAGTCTCAACCAATTCAAGATAGTTTGTGGCAGCCACAAAAACAAAGGTTCTGGAATTTAACAACTACTTTCAAAGCAATTACCACACAATTAAACAGGACATAACACTTTCAAACCAGGAACAGATTTTTTCTCAAATTTTGTTACATACTGTAATCAAATCTGTAAAAGTTGAACCTAAAAAATAAGATTAATTACACATTATAGCCCATCTATGCCATGCTATTACATTGCAGGATTCACAATGTCCTCCTTGCCCAGTATTTTACAGCTAGTCCCGTCAAAGCAGAATTTACCCGTGCTTCAGTGAATAGACAATTGCCATTTTTGTACTGTTGTATGTATATCAACATACCAGCAAGACTGCTTCAACCTAGTTCAATTCATTTGTTAATACATCCTTGATTTGGTTTGCTGGAACTGGTGGGATATTATACTATTCTATTCTATAGGTGGTAACCCGTGGCTGAGTGTGATTGTCTTTCAAGAGCAAAGTCTTAGTGATTGTAGAGACCTATTCTGGATCTACATGGTCTTTCACATTGAGCACATTGATTTCCAGGTGGAAGGAGGTCACAACAAGGGTTTGTTTGATATGCTTTCTACATTTTAAAACATCTGGAGGGTACCTGGGTGGGGAAATTGATATAAGCATGTATTTGGACAACTCAGCAATACAACATAGTCTGTTATAAAAACCAGGAAGATCAGCGGCCAATGATACCATGGAATTCATCTGACCCTGGCATTTTCACAAACATGGAGGGGTTGCGTGGCAAAGGAGGAAAGCTGCACTCCATTCCAATTGGGGATGAGATTGTCTCTCTTCCATCTCCGGCTGATGTTTTTTTATCCATGCAATAAGTAAAGGAAATATTCTGTGGAAAGGAAGAAGAACTCTTAATTGACATGGATATTAGAGGGGCTGATCCTAGAGCAGCAAAGAGTAGAAATCCCTTGCCTCGTTTCCTCCCTTGTTCCTAAAAAGATTAGGAACAAAATCCCACACGCTGCAACCAATTATAAAGGATACGGGGATTATTTGTTAGCAAATCCCACAAGCTGACACCACCTGTAATGGATTATTAACAAAATCCTAACCACTTGTAATGGAATGTGGTTTAGGTAATGTAAAATCAAAAGCTGAAAAGCTAAAACAATTTTCTGGCTGAAAATCTTTCAAAAGAACACTGGCCCCCACCACACTTAAAATAAATATTTAGCCCTTGTCTTGTCTTGAGGTATCTTTAGACTAGAATGAGCTGGATTCACACTCAGGCTTTGGATTCTGGGGTAATACTGAAGAGATTCCTTTTTAAAATACACGCTGCCATCATTTAACCTTGATTTCTTCTATAAACTGCTTGGAATTTCTCACACAGAGGCACACTGAGGCAGTGATTGTGAACAAAGAATAATGTTGTTTATTTGAGAGAACTTGAACAAAACAGACTTTAAGCGTTGCTATTTCAATGTTGAATAAAGTGTATGGTTTCTTTAAATAAGTTCAAAACTTAGTTGCAAATAACACTCCTCTCTCCCTCCAGAAACTACTGACAGGATTCCTTTCTGGCTAGTAATCCTAAACTCCACACAGACAGTCCTTTCCTTTTGGGATCTGTCTCTCCACTCCCCCAGCTATCCTTCCCAATAGCTGTAATCTTCTCACTAACTAACTCTGCTGACTAACTGACCAACTTCAGTCTTCTCTAACTCTGTTCTTCTTCACACCAAACCCAAAACTCCTTTTTCTCTGACACACAGACCCTAACTGAGCTGTCAGGTTTTAAAATGCACCCTTAAAGTCATTTTTTTTTCTTTTCTCAAGTTAAGCTCCACCTACTCTCACCCAGCCAATCACAAACTCTCCTCATTTCCCTCCAAGCTGCTCCTAAGCATGCCCCCTCCAGGAAATGAGATTCCAAGATGGATGCCCCTAGGCACCCTGCTAAAATGGCTGCTGAACTTCCTGGGCCTACTTTTCTGAGATTTTCCTAGCCTAACAGGTAGGGAATACAACATACCTGTGTTAAAATAATAGTTGGCATTCTTTATGGCAGTTATGGATAGGATAATCTATTTGTAACTGCTTCTTCTTAAGGAAGACCATGTAGTCACAATTGTGGAAGTAGTCCAACCATTCCATATCTCCATTGTCTTCCTAAATATGATCTTAACAGCTTATTGTACTGGAATAAAAATATGCACTCAGGGTACCAATAGGAATAAGAACCAAGGCAGTGACATCTCCAGCCCATCCCCTGTTTGGATATCAGCCAGCACGCCAACAACTTAAATCAAGAAATAGTTTTCTAAGATCTACAGAGACACTCACTGGAACACCTCAGCAAGCGAGAGTCCAAAAGTGGCAGGCTAAAACCCAGAACCTCAATCAATGGCTGATACCAAATGAGAGACTCCCTCCTGGGCACACAGAAAACTGGACTTGGAAGGCACTGAACAGACTGCACTCTGGCACCACGAGATGCAGAGCCAACCTTAAGAAATGGGGCCACAAAGTGGAATCCACGACATGCGAGTGTGGAGAAGAGCAAACCACTGACCACCTGCTGCAATGCAACCTGAGCCCTGCCACATGCACAATGGAGGACCTTCTTACAGCAACACCAGAGACACTCCAAGTGACCATCTACTGGTCAAAGGGCATTTAATAGAATGCCAAGTCTGCAAACTTTGTGGGGTTTTTTTTTTGTTTTTAAATACAATACAACTGTTGGTTTGCTCCTGATATGATAAATAAATAAGGGTACCAATATTAGAGAAATGTTGCAACATATAAGATAAATTGTAAATGAGCCCATAAGCATTGCTGACCATTTGAAACCCTGACATAAAATTGTAATTTAGGATGGAATTTTGTACTCAGATAAATTCATTATCATTACATTTGTGATTCAATGTAAATGTATTTATTTATCCTCCGACTATTGACTGTTAAAGGGTGTACATATTTTGGGGGACATCCTGTATATGATAAGAAGTAAAAATCATTTCCAAAAGGAGGAGCCATGTCTGTCTGTTGTAGAAAAAGCAACGAAGAGTCCTGTGACACCTTTAAGACTAATGAGCTTGAGCTGCCATGGCAACATCCTATGGAATATTTTAATTGGCAATTTAGGGAGGAGGAGGAATTCTTCACCTGAGAGCATCACCACCCACCCAAATTACAAGTTTCAGGAATTAAGGGGAGGGGAGACAATGTCAATTAAAGTGGAATCAAGGTGCTGGAAGTGTATCGTGTGAAGAAGCCCTGAGAGCCACCGTCGGTACAATTTAGATGCAAATGTAAGAACAACATCAACAAGAACAAAAACAACAAGAACAGAATCCTGCTCCACCATACCAAACATCTACCTGCTCCATAATTATGATCCAATGACTCTCATTGGAAGTCCCTCAAGCAGGAGTTAGATACAATAGTTCCATTCCAATTCAACTGCAACTGATACATAATGTTCTTGAATCTGGAGACACAATATCTCCAAAAAACTGATAGTTGTTGAGAATTCAACCTGGATTTAAGTTATCCAATCCTCTATTAAAGCTGTTCAAGTTAATGGGAATCTTGTAGGTCTAAAACGAGATTATTGAAAGATACATTTCAAATTACTCTGGAATGAAATTATATAGAATGCCTAATTATGTGTTATATAATTTAAATACATTACACTTCAATATATGAATAGGCAACTGAGGAAGCTTTTCCCAAAAATGCCAGAAAAGGAAAAGCAACACACAACAATCGGAAGTGCCCAGAAGATTTTGAAATATATGTGAATTTTTATACTGAACATTATGTGTGAGTGTGGGGGAAAATTTGGTGTATGCCTGAAGTGTATTTATATATTTATTTACAGTATTTTTGTTTGTTTGTTTATATTTTGCCCTTCTCACCCCAAATGGGACTCAGGGCAGATCACAATGCACACATGCACAGCCAATATTCAGTGGTTTTTTTAGACATACAAGACAGGTAGACAGATAGAGGTATTTTGGCATTTTCTAACTTTGGCGCCTGGAGGTTATGCTTGATTCTCGCCACAGGAGGGTGCTGTTGCTCTGTCAGCTGTGACAATGAATCCATTTTGATCATAGAATGCCCCTCCTTGCCATTTGATTGCCAGCATTTATAGTGTCATAAAATACCTACTCGCCAAATCGGAGCCTAATTTGTCTACTCACAGCTCAGCAGTTTTCAAACTGCTTTGGTGGACATGAGCTTAGGCTGACAGTCGGGTGCTCAATCTGACTGGGGCTTCAAATTTGCCACCTTCCAGTCAGCAGTGATCTATTACTGCTGGTGATTAATCAGCTGTGCTACAGCAATCTATTCTTAAAAGCATAAACACGATATTTAAATTGTGCATTTTAAACCGCCTGTCTTAATCTGTACTCTTTTAATAGGCTCTTTTAAACTGATGTTATGGGTTTAAAATTTCCAGATGTGCAGATGTGATCTTTCTGTCCTCCATGAGGCCTATCTCTGACCTCGAAGTGGCATGGAGGAAGTATGGTGGTTTTTCATAAAATCTGAATGCCGTCATGACATAATTGATGTACGTGCCTTTGAATGATGTTATGCATTTTTAACTGATGTGATGCTTGTTGCATTTTAAATGTTGTTATTCCCTGCCTTCCTCCATGAGGAGAGGTAGGAAATAAATACATCATTATCACCATCATCATTATTTAAAAGGTGAATTATCATGCTGCAAAAAGAAAGGGAAAGGCCTTAAGAAGCTGTGCATTGCCCCTGCACATCATATTTTGCCCATCTCAGCTTTTTTTTAAATACTGCCAACCATATCTGTACCAGTGTTCTCCTTCTTCTAAGTGTACAACATGTAAATGTTGCCCTATAAGTCCCCACTGTGGAGTAAAAGGGAAGTGCAAAACAATATGCCTTAGGCAGAAAAAAGAAAATGATAATTCACGCACCTCAGCTATTATCACTCCAAGGAGAAGGAGGATCAGGCCAGCTAAACTTAGTTGGATGATGTTTGGCACCGTATGGTCTCTGGTATTTGTTGCTTTCACTGATGAGATAGAGACTTCCACATCCACTGCAGAGAAGAGATTAGTGTCTGCATCAATACCATTATTATTTCCTTCTTCTTCCTGTTCCTCTCCTGCTGAAGGCAGGGCATCATCATCAATACTACTTTATTAATGCAGTGTACAATTTTCTAGGCATTTGTAGATCCCCCAATGTGGCTTGATAGTCAACTTCTGGAGGACCATCAAATTGCATAGGAGGATTAACAAATGCACAGAAGTCTCTAAGTCCTCCAATGCAACTTGTAAGTCAACTACTAGTAGACCATAGAGTTATGCTGAAAGATCTAGAGATTCGTTCAGAGAACATATTAAACAAATCTGCAAATAATCAAAGTCACAGAGGTTAAACCCACAAATGGGGAAGGTTTGAGATAGGATAGGCTTCTTCAAGGAGATCCACAGAGAGAGCTATAATAACAACAACAACAACAACAACAACAACAACAACAACAACAACAACAACAACAGACTGGGGCAGACTGAACCAGAAGAAAATGTGGAGCTTTTGCAAGAATTTGAAGAACCAGCACTTGAAGCACTTGTTGAACTATCAGGAACATTGACAGCAAGACAACAAGAGCTCAAAGATAAAATCATGGCCCATGTGGTATCAAATGCAATAAGAAAGCAACTCTCAAGTTTAAAAACAGTACTTAAGAGACAACTGGCACCTCTCATGAAGGATGTGAATACATTACTTTCTACTGTAGAAATAACATCAATTGAACAAACACATCAGTTTGCCTACAGTACAGCAGTGATAGTAACAGAAGAGCTTGGGCTCCTACAACCAATGCAGCCTCCAAGAAAACTGAATGGAAAACCAAAATGGAAGGTCAGGTTGGAGCTGAAAATCAAAAATCTACGATCAGATGCAAGTAACCTGAAAAATATGAAGGAGAACAAATTGAATAATGACAAAATCAAGCAATATCTGATCAGAAAGTACTGATTGAACACCAGAAAAATTGAAGAAGCTTTGGAAATCATGAAAGAACAAATTACAGCAACAGCCAGGAAAATTGAAAGATATGATGCCAGAATCATTCAGTACAGACAAAATCAACTATTTCAATCAGACCAAAGATGATTCTACCAGAGTCTGAACCAAACAACAGATACGGTAGTCATAAAGCCTGAGAAAACCGCAACAAATAAGTTTTATATAGAACTCTGGAAAAATAATAAGAACTACAACAAAAATGCTGGGTGAATAAAGGAGTTTGAAGAAAAATTCTCACAGAACAAAATGGAACAGATGGAAATAACTGAAATGATCAGCAAACAAGTGTAAAAAGTCAAGAACTGATAGAAAAGGATCCAGGAGAAGGAGCAGCACCAGGAAACTACAGGCCGATAACATATCTATCCACTATGTTTAAACTATTGACCGGCACACCATAGCTGACAGAAGTCAAGATTACCTTGAAGAAAATAACATCTTGTCAGATGAACAGAAAAGCAACAAAATACTGTGGGACTTTCAAAGCCAGACTGACAAAGTTTTGCAACACAATACAACAGGCATCATGATTGTGGAAAAGAAAAAAGTTTGGATTATTGATGTTGCCATACCAGATGACAGTCGCATTGAGGAAAAACAACAGGAAAAACTCAGCCAATATCAAGACCTCAAAATCGAACTGCAAAGGAGGCTCTGGCATAAACCAGTACAGGTGGTCCCAGTGGTCATTGGCGCAGTGGGTGTTGTGCCAAAAGATCTCAGCCAGCATTTGGAAACAATAAACATTGACAAAATCACGATCTGTCAACTGCAAAAGGCCAGCTTACTTGGATCTGCACGCATTATTCGAAAATACATCACACAGTCCTAGACGCTTGGGAAGTGTTCAACTTGGGATTTTGTGATACGAAATCCAGCATATAGATCTCGTTTGCTGTGACATACTGTGCTTTTGTGTCAATAATAATAATAATAATAATAATAATAATAATAATAATTGCTGTGGACTCATCTTGTTGTGTTTCAAATAATAACACTTTATTTATATTCTTCCCTTCTTACCCTGAAGGGGACTTACTTGAGACAAATGTCAGTAATGGACTCCTGGTGGAACTTTCAGTCTGATTGCTTGAAGAACTATATTCTGCTGGGAAGAAGGAAGAAAAGATGGAGATAAATATATGGCTAGGGTTAACCACATTCCTCAATGTCATGGTTTGGGGGTAAGAGCTTCAACTGAGATGATAGATAGTAAGATAGATAGATAGATAGATAGATAGATAGATAGATAGATAGATAGATAGATCTCTATCTATCTATCTATCAAGTCAAAGTCAAAGCAACACCAAGTGAACTAGGGCCATGCAGAAGAGAAGACTATCCTACATGTCTTCATTACATCCTGGTTGGACTACTATAATGTGATCTACATAGGGCTGTCTTTGGAAATGCCCAGAAAATTCAGTTGGTCCAAAGAGGCGCCAGGGTACTAACTGGGGCTGGCTACGGAAACGGACAACTCCTCTGTTGCAACAACTCCACTGGTTGACACATAGCCGATACGTTTCCAGTCCCAATTCAAAGTGCAGGTCATCACCTATAAAGCCCTTAATGGCTCGGGCCCTGCCTATCCTTGTGACCGAATCCCCACCCAGGGAGCTTTTTCAATGGCTTCTCCCAGACTGTGGAACTCCTTTCCAAAAGAGACCAGGCAGGTCAAGACCTTTCTGTGCCAGCAGGCATTTGGGGAAGGATGAGGGGCACACTGCTGGGGATGTCGCGGGCATTGTGAGCTTTGAATGTAACTTTGATTGTATTTATTTTATATATTGTATTTCAATTGTATCCATGACATAAACATCTAATTGGTTTTTTTAAAAAAAAATCTGTATTTGCCTTGTTTTAATTTTTTATTAGTATCATGTTATTGTTAACCACCTTGAGTCCCTATGGGGGGAAAGGCAGGATAGAAATAAAGTTGTTGTTGCTGTTATGTTTCTTCATATCCCACTTTTTCTTTCCATAAGGAAACTCAAAGCAGCTCACAATTAAACACATTACAATACAACTTAAAATATTCAAATATTAAATATTCAAGTATTAAACATCTATATATATGTGTGTGTGTAATGTTTGTTTGTGAGATTAACATAGCTCAAAAACCACAGGACGAATTGCTCATCAACCCCTTGCCTTCTACAAGGACCCATCACCCCTGAACCCACTTTTATTTACAAATCTTCATCAGAAGATGAACTGACCACTGCCCCATCATTATCCCCCGCAGCTGCTCCCAGCTCTTCACATGAATTCCCTTGTCCTTCCCTCCAATTCCTCCATCTCCTGTCAAGACTTAGGTCCCCCCAAGACTCAGTTGGATCCCCTGATTGCCAGTCTTCACCCCCAGAGAACCCCATAAAGGCATCACTAGTTTTTAGCTCCTCACAAATAGCTTGCACTTCTCTTATCTTAGTTCAATCCATGGTGTCTCCTTCTTCTCTTTCACTCATTGCCCTATCATCCCCAAAGAATCCCTCAAACGACTCCTCATCTGTAGGTGCTGTAAATATGTCCTGGATCCTCTTTCTCTGCTGCTTGTCATCAGATTCCTGCTCCCGAGTAGCCCTTTTCCCCCTTCCTGCACCCATACTATTGTTTGTAACGTTACTAACAGGCTCTACTACATCACGACTGCTCATTGGAGGGAAGGATATTAGAGACAAAGTTGAAGTACCTTGGCCACATCATCAGGAGACAGGAAAACTTAGAGAAGACAATTATGCTGGGGAAAATGGAACGAAAAAGGAAGTGGGGCTGACCAAAGGCAAGATGGATGGATGGCATCCTTGAAGTGACTGGTTTGACTCTGAAGGAGCTGGGGGTGGTGACGGCCGACAGGGAGCTCTGGCGTAGGCTGGTCCATGAGGTCATGAAGTCAGAAACGAATGAACGAATGAACAACAACAACAACAACAACAACAACACATATACAAAACACATATACACAGGCTGGGCCACAGCAACACGTGGCAGGGGATGGCTAGTTAATATCAAAAACAATTCAGGTTAAATCCATGAAAACATATAAAACCACAGCAGCCCCTGACATGATCTTTAAAACTATTTTCTTTAAATGCCTGTTTGAACAAAATAGCCTGCCACTGGAAGGATAACAAAGAGGGGGCCATTCTGGCTTCCCTGGAAAGAAGGGAGATCTAGAGTCGAGGGGAAGCCACCAAGAAGGAAGGCCCACTCTCTCAATCCCACCAACCAAGCTTGAGATGGAGGTGGGACCGAGAGAAGGGCTTCTCCTGAAGATCTCAGGGCTGGACAGTTTTGTACATGGGGGTGTAGTCAGCCAAATAGCCTGGACCTGAACTGTTTAGGGGTTCAAAGGTCATAACCAGCACTTTGAATTGTGCCCAGAAACAGACTGGCAGTCAGAGGAGTTCATCATCACCACCATCACCATCACCATCACCATCATTCCATCAAGCTTTCTCACCTTTGGTCACCATTAGGTTGATGTTGGCTGATATCTTCCTGCCCAAAGCCAGCAACGTGATGGAATAAATCCCAGAATCTTCAACTCTTACATCCTGGATCATCAGTGACACATCATCTGAAGACACTTCTGCTCGATGTTTGTATCCCTCTGTCTTTTCAATTCTGATCTTACAGGAGTCCCTCCAATGTTGGTTTGTCCCATTTGTCTTGCAGTTATCAGCCATGAGAATCAGCACCAACTCGGAGCCAGTGACAAAATACCATCGTATCTGGAAATAATTTGGCAGTGATGTTGGATGGCTCAGTAAGGCAGAGAGCCAGACTGTATTTCTGGCTGGAATGGAAACGGAGGATTTGGGCACAGTCAACATGAAGGCTCCAGTAGGACCTGGGAGAAAAGACAATAATACTTAGTAAGGAAGAAGGCAATAGGGAAAGAGGAAAGCCACACTCCAAATGGATAGACTCAACCAAGAAAGCCATGACCCTCAGTCTGCAAAATATGAGGTAAAAACAGAGGGATTTGGAGGTCTCCCGTTCATAGGGTTTCTACAAATCAAAGTTAACTTGAAGGCAATCAACAACAAAAATAAGCACGTGTTATTTCATACAAATATTCTATTGCTTGTTACAATCTACCTTTGAGGAGTCTTTACATTGTAAAGCAACGAAGGGCTTTGACACTTCACCATTTCTATGATTCTATTTTTACTGCCTAGGAAACATGTTAAGGAATTTTGGATTCATAGTTTTAAATTGCAAATCCCATGATTTCATCAGATGGGACTTTACCATTTAAAGTGGAACAGATAATTGTGGATTGTGAAATGGTTTCAAAGACGAGTAGTACTTCTTTTGTACTAAAGCTACAGAAAGCCCTGTGACACTGTGGATACTTGCTACCTTTGGCTATACACAAAGCTTCCCAAGGCTTGGGGAAGAGCCATTTTCTATCTTAAGGAAGTCAACAATATAATCTACTTAGGGCCCTTCCAGACAGGCCCTATATCCCAGGATCTGATCCCAGGTTTTCTGTTTATCCTGTATTATTTGGCAGTGTAGACTCATATAATCCAGTTTAAAACTGAAAACCTGGGATCAAATCCTGGGATATTGGGCCTGTCTGGAAGGGCCCTGTGACAGTCCCAAAGCAACTCAGTAGTTTTAAAGCTTAGCGGAAACTATACTTGGATGTCCCAAATCTCAGCTGGACACTCTGATCACTGCAGAATAACTACTGTGCTCCACCTGTCATCTTCTGTTGTGTGTCCCCTGCAGATTAAATAGTACCACCCAGAGAAACACCTGCAGCATGTCACGTCAGATTCACAATGCTTTTCTAAGTCTAGAGAAGTATCTCTGCAAATGAGTCCCTTTACTCACCTACCAGCATCAGATAGAACCACAGTTTTGCCATTGTGATGTCCATTCTCCACTGCTTCTGCAGGAGACTGTGTTTTGCTGTGCTGCTATCTCAAAAATCTTCCTTTTGACATTCACGTGCTCCCTCCAAGGGAAGTTCGACGGAGCCAGGACTCCTGGCTGGGCCATTCTTAGTTCTGCTTTAAATGGTAAACAAGTTTGAAAAGAGAAACAATTTTTTTTTTTTGGTTAGGCAAATGGCAACTCAAGGAGATGATTGAGTGGCTTTGATGGAGCCCCAGACAAGTTGTCTTCCTAGAATTATATAAACATAGTGATACCAAAAACTATCTAACCCATTCTGTCAGGCAGGATTACACCATCAAAGCATTCCCGACAGATAGTCATCCAACATGTTTAAAACCTCTGAGGATATCTCTCGAAATTTCTTGGTCATCTAGGGAAACTATAGTATGATCAGACCAAATTTAATGGTGCTCAGGTAATTTGATGGCTTTGGGCTATGTCTTGGGGAAGAATACCATAGAATTGCCTAAAAGGATTGCTTCTTAAACTGTGGACCCCAACCCCAAATGGGGTCGCCTTAGCTCTTTGTTGGGGTCCCAAAAAATTAGCAATAGTAAAGTTATTCTGAACATCACCTACCACCTTATTATACCTTCAGCAGCGGCTTTTGGCAGCGCTTCAAATGCTCCGCTTCACCAGACTCCTTTGGCAGCTCTTTACACAGCAGGAAGCATAGTGCACACATGGAGCGTACAGCTTCCACCTTCCTGTGTTGCCAGGGTGGCAGTGGCATGCCAGTTCCACCTTCCTTCACCCACGGAGGTGGCACGACATCATGTGGTTGGAGCCTGTCTGCTCTGTCAGTGACCGGGGCTAGATCGGCATTTACCACCAAATTTAGCCCCGTATGATGAGGTCACTAGTGGCTGCTGTAGACATTTACAGGAACAGGAATATATTATGCTGCTTTTATATGGACTTTGCAACAGATTCTTTAACTGTATTTCATAAAAAGAAAAATCAGCCTGTTTAGAAAGCCTTCCAAATGCTGATTTGTTATCAGTAAATGTCTGATTTTTATACTTATCTTATATACCTATATATCTGGAGTCGTGTAAAAATTTCTCGTGTGAAAAGGGGTTGGGGAGTGGAAAAGTTTAGCCCTGGGCTAGAGGCCCATCCAGGAACATATGCCCTGCATATATAGTGATTTTGCTATATCTCATTTTCTTGCAAGTAACCACAACCTTATGGTTGGATGGCAAAGAAAAAATCGATTGTATTTTTTTTCTTCATCTGGTTCTAAGGTACCTTGAGTCTCAATTTTGGGGAAAACATGAGATACAAATATAATGGAATGAAATACAACTGCCACATTTTCTGCTTAGTATTGTTTTGTTCAGCAACTGGTCTCTGAAATGCTATTTTGTAAAAAAAAAAAATAATGGTAGCGTTAGCCACAACAGTTCTACATAAACCCTGACAACAACAACAACAACAACAACAACAACACCACTTTATTGTTAGCCGCCCTGAGTCCTTCTGCGGAGGTCGAGATAGGACAGGATCCAAATGTCTGAAATAAATAAATCCGAAATAAATTTATATCCTGCTCAATCTCCTTGTGGGGACTCAGGGCAGTTATCAACAAACAAAGGCAAACATTCAATGTGCATAAAGGTAAAGGTTTCCCCTGACATTAAGTACTGTCATGTCCTACTCTGGGAGGTGGTGCTCATCTGCATTTCTAAGCCGAAGAGCCAGCATTGTCCATAGATGCCTCCAAAGTCATGTGGCCAGCATCACTGCATAGAGCACCATTACCTTCCCGCCAAAGTGGTACCTATTGATCTAATCACATGTGCATGTTTTTGAACTGCTAGGTTGGCAGAAGCTGGGGATAATAGCAGGAGTTCACCCCGTTCCTAGATTTGAACTGCCAACATTTCGGTCAGCAAGCTCAGCAGCTCAGTGGTTTAACCCGCTGTGCCACCAGGAGGGCCCCAACAATGCCCATAACAAGACAATAATTGCGAAATTTAAACAAAAATCACTAATAAATTAAGATACAATACCAGACATTATATGACATGAAGTTAAAATTAAGTATGGTAGCTAAGAACACACATTAAATTATCACAGTTTAAAATGACTTCATCCAACAGAACTGGGGAAAACAGGGGCAAGCAGGGGAAATTATCTTCTTTGTGTGTATAATTGTCTTCTTTATGTGGGATCTGTATTTAAATAAGACAGAGAATTTAGTTATCCCCATCACACAGGATCACTTCCTCCTGCCTCTAGCTCAACCTTCAGTAAAGAGACACAAGGCATGGTTCTTAATGCAGACACCCCTTCTCTGGGCTCCTCTTTTTTTCCTCCTAATTTCCTTACTGTCAATGAGATACATGGCATCATTCTTAAGGCAGGCATCCCTTTTCTGGGCTCTTTGCTTTTCTCTCCCAATATCCTTACTCTCAAGTAGACAGAAGACATCATTTCTCGGGGCTCCTTTCTCTCCCAATCTCCTTAATCTCAGTCACAGAAGACCAAAATCTACTAGGCACTGGAACTTACTGTAGTGGCTTAAAAAAGAAGTGAAACAAAGTGGAAGAGCTAGTAGTAATGCACTTCGAAAGCCAAGATTACTATGACAGTGAGATGATAGGAAAAACAATGTGGTAATGTGCCCCCAGTGACACAGTGGGTTAAACCACTGAACTGCTGAACTTGCTGACCGAAAGGTTACAGGTTCAAATCTGGGGAGCGACGTGAGCTCCCATTCTTACGCCCAACTTCTGCCAACCTACCAGGTCGAAAACATGCAAACGTGAGTAGATCAATAGGTACTGCTCCAGCGGGAAGGTAACAGCACTCCATGAAGTCATGCCGGCCACATGACCTTGGAGGTGTCTATGGACAACGCAGGCTCTTCAGCTTAGAAATGGAGATGAGCACCAACCCCCGGTTGGTGCTCATCTCCAGTTGGACACGACTGGACTTAATGTCAGGGGAAACCCTTTACTTTTTAATGTGCTGAAATTGCAGTATTCCTACTGATTAAATTAGTTTTTTTAATTACCATAACAGGCCCACAAAGCAGGATGCTGGGAGAGAAATGTCAATGTTCAGTAGGAAACCGCCCATAGGAATGCCCATAACTCCACGTCACTGAAATGATTCAACATGGACAAATTTGACATATCCCATCCCATGTGTTACCTCCTGCTTTCTCCCATTTCCATAGCTAAGAAGATACTTTCTAAGTGTTTCCTATGGTTTCCCTAAGGTGAACCTATTGCAAGATTTTCTTGGCAAGATGACTTCACATAACACATGGATAAACAAGCATGGACTTCTTGACCTCTAAAATGTATTTCCCTCTATGAGAAAAACAAAACAAAAAAGCAATGGGAAAGCTAACATCTTGATTAAACTTTGTTTCCCTTTTTGTGAAAAAAACAAAAACAAGATAGTAATAGAAGAAAAGATTTCTTCCCCCACTGAATAATAACCAGGCCATGTTTTGATGACAAGTATTTGGGGTCAAACATTGACAGAGGCATTTTCTCTCTTTTCAGCAGTTATGCACCTCTCTTTTCCTCATTTCAGTTTCACATGCTTTCAGATGACAAGCTAGAAGTATGTGTCAATGAACGGAGTGCGAGACAAATGACAGACCTTGCCTTTATTCGCGCTGCAGAATTGTAGCATTTTGATACCACATTAACTGCTATTGCTCAATGCTTAGGAAACCCAGTGTTTGTAGTTTTGTAAAATAGTTATCCTTCTGAGGGCTACAGTGGCACAACAAACTACAAGTTCCATAAGCCGGAGCTAGAGCAGTTAAAGTGGTGTCAAACTGCAATAATTCTGTAGTGTAAGTGGTCTCCTTATATGCATCTACACCACTTTCACTGATATGGCTCAGTGCTATGGCATCCTGGAAGTTGTTGTTTTGCAGGTCTTTAACCCACTCTGGTACTACCGTAGTGTCTCAGCAAACCTCCACTCCCAGGATTCCAGAATGTTGAGCCATGCCAGTTAAAGCAGTATCAAACTGCATTACCGTAATTCTAAAGTGTAGATGGACCCCTTGTGAGAGATTAAGCAGGAAAGAGATTATAAGGCAAGTGCGAAGTATGATCAGAATGAATGTTGGAAAGGACTCTGGGAGAACAGGGTTCCAATTGTTGCTTGACAAATAAACTCACTGGGTAACATTAGGCAAGCAATACATTTTCAGTTTTAGAGGAAGGCAATGGCAAACGCCCTCTGACAAGAATGTATTTTGATTTTCTTTTCCAAATTTCAATGTAGATGCATCTTGAATGAATCTTTCACCTGTGCTAAAATGCACCCCATGTCTCTATGCCTGGATCTACACTGCCAAATAACCAAGTTTCGGGATGCAGTGTAATACAGTGAACTGGATTATATGAGGCCTCATCTACACTACCATATACTCCAGTTTCCGAATCCAGATCTGCTTTGAACTGAATTATATGGCAGTGTAGACTTGGCGCACAAGTTTTAACTCACAGTTAAAACTTGTGTGCCAGCTGCACCCATATCTTGGAATGTCTGACTTGGCCATGCTCTGGTTACATCCTATATAGACTACTGCAACACGCTCTACATGGGATTGCCCTTGAAGACTGTCCAGAAGCTTCAATTGGTGCAACGGACGGCAGCCAGATTACTAACAGGAGTAGTGCTCAGAGAGCATACAACTCCTCTGCTGCACCATCTCCACTGGCTGCCAGTCTGCTACTGGGCACAATTCAAAGTGCTGGCTTTAGCCTATAAAGCCCTAAATGATTATGGCCCAACTTACCTGTTATGAACCTGCTAGAACTTTAAGATTGTCTGGGGAGGCCCTGCTCTCAATCCTGCCTGCATCACAAATACGTTTGGTGGGAATGAGAGACAGGGCCTTCTCAGTGGTGGCTCCTCGGCTATGGAACGTCCTTCCTAGGGACATTAGATAGGTCCCCTCCCTCTTAACATTCCAGAAAAGAGTCAAGGCTTGGCTGTTCAAGCAAGCATTTGAAAATGCAATGTAAAAGACATAGGAACTTGGAACGACTAGATGACGAGAT